AACGGCAGTGAAGAGTAGAAAGTTTCATTCCTCATAAGATTCCGTTTTAGTGATCTTGAATAGATCTTACCAGGTTTTTTTTTTACTTTTTTTTATCAGAAATTCTGGTTTCACTGAAAATATTTTGTTAGTGTATGAAAGTTATTGCATTAAGAACTTCTACATAAGAAACTCAAACACGTAAAGAACGTGATGAAATTCACGTGTTTTTGTTAGAAAAAAGTTTTCAAGTTTAGTATGATACAGAATGATGTGTTAATGACATTGTAGTTTTGCAGAGCGCTCCTATGTTCCAAGTAGATCATTTGGCGTCTTGTGGGAAGAAAACCATTTTGTCGTAGTTTCACTTGCGTTGATATAAATAAGTGCGCGTCATTATTTGTAGCGATGATAAGTATTTACTAGACTCCACATTCTAGATGAATTACTACGATTCATAAAATCTTAGCGCTAGGCCACATGTGCACGTGAGTGGGTGTGAACGTACGGGGTTTATGAATGCATTTCGGGGGAGGGTAGAAAGATAAAAAAAGCAGTGGCGAGATAATAAGAAAATGCATCAAGGAAACGATGAGAAACGAACACATTTTTTATGTATTTCAGTAGATTTTTTAGCTTTTATATTTTAACATCCTATAAGCTTGTATTACCATAAGAAGGTTGAAAAATTTGTTTGTTTCTACTATTCGTGCAAAACTACAGAAGGGCTATCTATCGTAGCCCTTTCTAATTTTGAACAAATAGATTTCAAAGAAGCCAACTAGTCAACAGTTACACTATAGAGTAGACAACTAGTCAACAATTAGACCAGGGAGACGACAACTAGTCAATAAATAGACCAGAGAGAAGACAACTAGTCAACAATTAGACCAGAGAGAAGACAACTAGTCAGCAGATAGACTAGAAGAAGACAACTAGTCAACAGTTAGACTAAAAATAAGACAACTAGTCAACAGATAGATTTGAGAGAAGACAACTAGTCACCAGTTAGACTAGAGAGAAGACAACTAGTCAACAATTAGACTAGAGAAAAGGCAACTAGTCAACAGATAGACTAGAGAGAAGACAACTAGTCACCAGTTGGACTAGAGAGAAGATAACTAGTCAACAATTAGACCAGAGAGACGACAACTAGTCAATAAATAGACCAGAGCGAAGACAACTAGTCAGCAGATAGACTAGAAGAAGACAACTAGTCAACAGTTAGACTAGAAAGAATACAACTAGTCAACAGATAGATTTGAAAGAAGACAACTAGTCACCAGTTAGACTAGAGAGAAGACAACTAGTCAACAATTAGATTAGAGAAAAGACAACTAGTCAACAGATAGATTAGAGGAATGACAACTAGTCAACAGTGTAACGAATTTATTATTATATATTTATTTTGATATCAACGTTTGTTTAGATTAAATTTATATTCAGGAACATACATAGCTTATA